CGGAATAAATGGAACGCACACTTAGAACGAGTGTCCATGTCTTGATTAAGAAGCTTATTAACGAATTCCCCACTCACGATTAAGTGGAGTCTACTATAGATTTAGTATGTATGTAAGTTTAGATTATAAGTACAAACGTGTGTAAATAATGTAGATAAGTAGCGTAAAATTATAAAAAGTAGTTTGTAAGATAAGTAAAGTTTAGGTTTAAGATGTAAGTTTGCGATCTCACAGACAACTGTACAACTAATATAAATAAATTTAATTAAAATCTTTGCAACGAAACCCATCAGAAGAGAGATCATGCGAGAACAAAAGGATCAGGACATTTTGGTGCTCCAAGCAACGATTTCCTATGCTGCTCATCAAACTGCAAGTTGAATTTAAAGAAAAATGACTGTAAAGCTGAAGCGAAGCGGCCTGTGTAGAGTTTGGACACTTAAGGATAGCGGGCCCGGCTATTGTCACGTGATGCCCGAAACATCCATCACGGTCTCCGTAGCTAACAAGCTTCAACCGTGCTCGGTTTGGTAAGCGAGACTTCATAACGTGTACGGAATCGGTTGCCGGTTATGGAGAAGTAAGATTCACCATTGCTGACAAAAGCCGGCTGAGGTTTTCTGCAAAACATTATGTATGCTACTGAAAGAAGTCTTGGGTTCTACTCTATTTGAGGCTGGAAGTCAGTGAGGAGTAATATTGACATTCTTGTAGTTTCGAGGAATTCAACGTTGCATTTTCTACATCGTCTACGTCAGTTTTCCCAAGTGCACATGCTTCAATTAATTCGTTGGCCAACTGCACTCTAGGCAGCGCAACAGTACGAGGAAAACCCGTTTCCCGTGGAAGCTCAGGGGCCCCTCCGAGGCGGAATATTTCGTGGCGTTCGATTACCCCCTTCGCCCCCCCCCCGCCCGCTCCAATCGAACGCGTGCACAGCCCGGAATGCGCACGTGCGCGCGGCGCAGCACGTGGTCGGTGCGCGCGAGCCGCGGCTGGGCTGCGCTGCGCTGCGCTGCGCAGCGCGAAGGAATATCGAGCGAGGGGCAGGCTGACGACGGCAAGGGCGCGCTAAGGACTCGGGTGACGGACGGCGACGGCCGTCGCTTTTCCTGCCGCGGGAGAAAGGCACCCCCCGCCCACCTCAACTCTCCTTTCACGGCAAACGGAGACAAAGCCACAGGCCGAAATAACGGTCCAGAAGCGGGAAGAAAGAAGGCGAAGCAATAGAATGGTTAAGGGCACGCGAAACATTTATTGAAGCTTGCGCATTATATCCATGATAATACTTCACATCAGAAATGGCATCATTCGTTTCACGGTGGAATATTGTAATTTGTTACGCTGTTTCATCAGCAGCTAATCATTTGTATTATAGTACTCCCGTTGATTAAAATCACACCCTCCAAATGTTTTCGCAAAATAGCATTGTAAAGAGGATTGGTAAAATTTTGAAGTAACTAACAGAATATCTAACAAAGAATACAATGACTGAAGAATGCACCCAAATGCTAAAGACAACTAAACGCAGAGGGAAAAAGGAAAAACTGAAAAAGAGAAAAATTGGGAAAACGGGAGGGAAAAGAAAGGAGAAACGAGGTTAAGGGGTGACATAAGGAAAGGAAGAAAGCGAGATGAAAAGAAGAGAAAGAGAGAAGAGACGAGGAAACAGTAGCGATGGGGAAAGGGGAGAAAGAAGGGAGAACAGGGAGCCAGAGATGGCAAAAGAGAAGGGAGAAAGGGGAGGAAGAGAGGGGCAGGGAAGAAAGAGATGGAAAAGGAGAGGGAAAATGAGACGAAATAAAGGGAAAGGGGAGAGAAGGAGAAGGAAGATAGCGAAAAGGAGTGAAAGAAAATGACAGTGAGGGAATACGGTGAATGAGAAAAAGGTGAGGGGAGGAGGAAAAAGAACAGAAACGAAGAGAAGCAAAGGCAGGTCGGAGGTCAGCAGCCGGGCAGGTTGGGTGAGGGCGGGCGCCAGCTGGCGCCACGTGCGACGCCCCTGCCAACACTTCCCTGGCGCGGCAGGTGGGAGAGGCGGCGCGGTATCAGTCCACGCCGCGTCACGTCACGTCACAACCCGGCGCATCCTTTCCCCGACCGCGCGGCGCGGCGAAGCAAAGCAACGCGAAGCGGGCGGAAGCCTCGCACGGCGCCGCTTACGTAAGGCGCCACCGCGGGCAGCGCGCCTCCTCTTCGGCCACGAGCCACACCTCGGCCGCCCCGCCACTTCTGCCCCTGCAGGTGCATTTCACACTCTCAATTCAACCTTTGCCTAGCAAACGGTTTCCAGTGTTATTGCGTCGGGTCTTTCTTACGATGTGCGCGCAAATTGAAAGAAATGTAGGCAGTTTCCGGCCATTCACAAGAGGATTCTGAGGTTTGTTACCTATCCAAGAAACTCGAGAAAAATTAAAACACAATGAAAAATTCGGTTTCACTGCAAAACGCAAACATTTGACTGTGTTATTCCACCTATTCTCATATTGCTCGTACCGTCAGAATTACTATAGTATGTGCGTCATCCCTTACGACACAGCTGACGTGCGACAGCAAGGCTCCAAGGAAGAGGTTTCTCCCCATTAAATTTTGCTATTCACGAGGAGCGTTAAGGAACAAATTATTTTGATACTCTTGGTAAGCCAATACAGGTTACTATGTTATTGCAATATTCGAGAAGACAGTTTTTTTAAAAAATATTATATATATATATATATATATATATGTATATATATATATATATATGTATATATATATATGTATATATANNNNTATATATATATATATATATATATATATATATATACATACACGAGATTATTTGTTGCACTTTACCAGCGCGTAAGCTACGTTTTCAAAAACCAGTTTGTATGGTTTCGCCAGCAGAATCTTTTACTGCTGCAGGTCACTACTGTGTTAATTAATCTCTGATAAATATTGGTATTCGGGTTGTCCGAACTTCAGGGAGCAGTAAAAGGAACTCGTCACCGCAGAACATATTCATTCTAAGCAAATGTTTCAACTTCTTTACATGTCGTCAAATCAATGAGTGGAAAATGCACTTCGTTATATTGAAAAATAATGCAGCAATGAGTGCAACTCAAAACACCAGCCCCGTGATATTTTTTTATTCGTTGCGCTTTGGGTGTAACCTGATCTGTTCCTTCAAATTTAATTTATACTAAGAATATACTTACGCCATTTACCGGCCTCTTCCGGGCTCCTTCCAGACCCCCTTACGATGGCCTTATGCAAATGCGCAAAAGAAGCAAACTCAACTTCTGTTCAACGCTGGAATTCACGCACAATTCCGGGTGCACCGTGTTTACACCATTATTCGCCTCTTCAATGTGAACATGGAACGCTCAGCGCCCACCTGCGGGGCACTGGCCGAACGCCTTCCTTCTTTAGGTTCGCCTCGCCACCACGCGCTCTCGAAAGGCGCCCGACACCCCGTTCAGGCCCCTTCCATGCCTCTCGTGTTCCTCCCCCAGGCCTCCTTCGGCGGCAGAGCGGAATAATTATAGCGCAACGGGAATGCCTTCATTGAAGAAAATTGTTCCCAACGTTTTTGCACATCAGCAGTCTCAAGGCGATAATAAGCACTGACCAGCTAAAACAAACTAAGCAAAACTTTCGTACCGCCAATACGAATCTGTGGAAAACAAATCACGTACGAGTGAGGATAAAGAACCGAACACGTGCCGATCCGGTTCCTTTGCTTGTGGTCCCTGAATTTATTCATATCAGGGCCTGAATCATTTTCTTGACGATAATTATTGCTTTCAAATGAATACCCCAAAAAACTACACAAGGACTTAAAATGGTAAAATGAGATTTTTGTTTGTTAAGAAGTTTCAGTTCCTACAGCAGCGAACGAATTTTTTTTCTTAGATGAAAGAGTGATACTGTTTTATAGAGACAAAGTTTTTCTTAGATAAAACCATTACGGAAATATTTTTTTCTTAGATTAAAGAGTGGCGATGTTTTAAGACCAAAAGGTCTTGGCGCAGTGCATTGCACGGGAATTCCCAGCCCGCCCCTTCCTCTGGCCGCCCACGCTCCCACGGACCAGGTGGCGAAGCACGCCAAGCGAAGCAGCGATTTCTGTTCGAACAATTCACTTAAAACGTGCACATTCTGACATCACATTGAAAATAAATGCAAACAAATGGTTTTCGACAACTGTCGTTCATAATCATTACAATACCATGTATCATATATTTGTATAATCATTGTAATATTCCCTATTCATATTACCTAACTGAAGTATTATTAGCCGACAGGCGGAGTTGTTTTGAAATGTTTGTGCCAAAACCTATTCTATACGCTAGGTTTCCAACGTCTTTACATTGTTTACGAGGGTATTTCCATTCCTAAGAATATATTTACATCCATTCCTGGGATCGAAACTATAACTGCACGTGTCAAAAATAATTTCAATTTAGTTCAGCATTACATCATCACATCATATTACTAAATTTATTTCAAGAAACAGGTGTGCTAATTACATAGAGGCAGGCATCGTGTATTAAAATGTAGCAAATTCTCGCAACTAAAGTAATAATTATTAATAATGTAAAAATAAACTTCATTCATAATATGCAAAATAGTAAATCACATGCAAGTACTAGTACTAAATTAATTTTCGTTTTTAATTCTGAAATTTGAACGGGTTAATTTCTTTTCCATGAATTTGAATATTTTTAAGCCTGACCGACAGTAGAAAAGTTGAGTAATACGGCGGTCACACGATTTCCATATCGAATGAGATAATGAAGAATAGACTTCGCTCACTAATTACCGAAGTTTCGTAATCGAATATTAAAGAATGCAGTGTGCGCGCCGGCGCGAAATATCGACCGCCGTCGGTGAGCGCAGCAAACGTCAACACGCTGCCGCCGCGCCGGCCGAGCCACCGGGTGGGGCGAGGCGGACGCGCTCGCAACGCCGGCACCTGGCCGGCACGCAGCGCCCGCGGCTGGCGAAAAGCTACTCACCCACAACCACCACCTCCGTTCGCACGGCGTGGTCAGGCACCGCACGTGCCACCGCGTAGTCCCGCATTCTGGCGACGAATCCTGCGAACAGCCGAGGCTCACTGATTCACTCCGTCCGAACGAGGCCACAAACCGCAGATGCCGGCTAGACGCCGCGCCGTGCCGCGGCCGGCCGGCCCTGCGCTGCGCCGCCGCCTCGCGCCCCACCCTCGACGCAGCGCCTCAGCCCGCTGCGCCGCAGCGACGACGGGGATGGGGGGAGTGGGGGGGGCGCGATTACGGAGCCGCGACTGCCTCACATTCGAGCAGGCGGCTCAAGGCCTCAGGGTCAGGGATCGGCGCGGAGGAGGGGGCGGCGGCGGCAGGAATGGGCCATTTAGCAGTTCAACTTTTTGTTTATTTTTTTGGTTTATACCACGTTGCTAATAAATCGAGTGGTTGATGCGACCTAAAATAAACATCAGATCTACCTATCTTTTTTTACCAATAAATATACATCGATGTTTTGGATTTAACAACCATCCACTGGTTTTAATTAAGAATTCTCCCAAAATTTCTCCTAAACATACATTACACACTGTTCACGAAAAACGCAAGCACGCTTGCCGATGCAAAAACTATTTCATTATTATTCGGGGCGAATATGTCGTGGTTAGGCGGAAGAGCAGGCCTTATGGCCTGAGCCTCGCCATTAATAAAGATGATATTATTATTATTATTATTATTATTATTATTATTATTATTATTATTATTATTATTATTATTAATGTCTAGCTTTCAAATGATGCGAACCACGCTTGTTTGTTCAAACACTGACTCGCCAGTTATTAAGTCGTATTCCTTTCGTTATGAAGAAAGTTCACTAAGTATTCAAAAATACAGAATAGCAAAACCAATTTATCAACACCTTCAAACATTTCAGTAAGAAAAAAACAATAAAAATTTAATACGACTTTTGGAGCAAGCGTTGTTGACGCAGCCTCAGCTGCCTGCAATCCTCACAGAGCTCGTTTTCTTGCTTCAAGCAGAGGCGACGAAAGAAAAGAAGGGTCCGGGGTAGTAGATGCACGGCGACCCCTTATTTGAAACATCCTTCCGCCCTCGCAAATTGCATTGACGAAATTACTCGTGATTTTTCTTTGCAACGGAAAAACTTAGAGATTAAATTGAATTAGAATCAAATATTCTGTTCGACAGCGCTAATAACAGCTGTTATTTTTAAGGCATGCACAGCGAGCTGAAACTTCAATTTTTAGCACTAGAGCTAAAAGAGAGACTGTGCTGAAATGTTCAGATAAAACTGAATGCAGCCAGAAAACAAAATGCATTCGTGTGAGTAGCTGCAAGTAGATTCGTTTCATCTTAATGTAATATGCACCCAAATAGTGACTTGAATACTTGAATTAAAATAAAAGAAAGGGAGTAATGCTGTTTAAAAAATACTGACTGACACAGGTGGCAAAAGTGATTTCAATTTGCTCTTAGCATTGAGTCACTCGCCCTGTTGATCTTTGGTCGCTTCCTTCCTCATTCGCAAAATAAAATGTCACGTTTACCACTCGCATCATAAATAACGATTTTCATATATTTCGAATGAAAAAAAAAATAAACACCAAATAAGTCGGGGCGTGGGGCAAGTTGCTCCAGCTGTCCCCCGTCCTGGCCGCTGCTGGCCTTAACAAAAGGAAGATCAATGATCCTATGCTAGATGCTTTGAAATGCAGTGCTTTGATGATTGGGGTTCTCTATCGAGGTACATTTTGAGTAAGGAAGCTTATGATAGGGCTGGCAAGTGGGGTTGCGAAAGTCACAGAGTAGCGTCTACAAAAGACCCCAGAGGGAAACACGACATCTATTTCGTAGATTGATTGATTGTTAGTGATCCTTGGCGCGCCTGCTGACAGGGTCATTATTCCTGCAAGAGCAGTTCATGTTTTTGCGGTGGTAGCCAGATCCGGCGCCGACCTACTACCGGGGGGGGGGGAAGTTCCCAGCCAGCGGGGCACCGCCCCAGCCAGGGCAAGCTCTAAGCCGACTGGTCTCCCGACATGTGTAGTATGTAGTGAATGTTGGTGTGTGTGTGTGTGTGTGTGTGTAAAGGGTGAGGATAGGAGAAGGAAGAGTAGGAAAGGTCGTGGCCCGTTTCCGAGGGCATGCTTGAGCATTCGCCTGGCGTGGACGGAAAAGCCCTGCAGCCAGGGCCCTCTCGTGGAGGAGAGGAGAGGAGAGGAGGGAACCGGCGTGCTCCGTGAATCAACCGCTTGATGGAAAGGAAATGTATTGGCAATGGCAATCTTTTTTATTCTAATCCAATCGATATGTGCTAATTCTCAGAATAAATTAACCAAAAATGACCTGGAGAGGTGATTATGTTCCAGTGCCCTCCCTCCACATGTAGCTACTACTCTCACCTTTGATACCACCACATCTGCTTCCCTTACAGACGTCGCGTCACTAGCCGCAAAGCACACTCACTGCCTCCAATTCAAATAACAACAGTCATAGTTTGATTGATTAGTGTTTCAGGAGGATTTAACCTGCTAAGGTCATTAGTCCCGTGTGTTTCCTAGTGTTTTTCCTCGGGAGATGGAGGAGACCTCCCGTCGGCTAGCAGGTGTTTGCTCCACCAGCGGAGCGCCACCTCAGCCGGCGCAAGTGCTAAACTGCCGGCAGGTGGGGTGGCGTGGTGCACTTTGCACAAGCGTTTGTTACTATGGAGCGGGAGAGGGCGAGGGAGGGGAAGGACATGTGGCGAATGGACCATGGCCTGTTGGTTAGGGGAGTGCTGATCCGGCATTCGCCTGCCGATGATTCGAGAAACTCCCGAAAACTACCGATCAGAGCCGTCGGCTGCACTTGACCTAGCTAGCGTCGAAACTAGTACCGTCGGCACCCGAACCCTGGGACCTTCCGGTCAGAGACACTGCAGCAACATCATTTGGTGCTCTGAATCACCCGAGCCTGTAAACAGGGAAGGAAAGTCAAGAAAAAGAGACGATTTTATACGATTATAAGACTCCAGCGATACAAGATTTCAGAAATGAGCAGCTGTTGGATGGGAACTACACGAACAAACTACTAGAAGTACATGGAACAAAAAGATGAATGCCATGAGGCCATCAGCAGGTGCGCATCAATGCAACTCACATTACGCTGTTCCATCGCACGTAACTCGAAAACTGTTTCCTTTGATCTCAAATTGCTTGTTTTTGGACACCTGAGGGTGCATGAGTAATGATCCGCCCGTCACCAACGAAGTGAAACACCTTCTGGTCACGTGTTTAGTAACTCAGTCCTTCAGTATCACAGTCAGAGAGACGCAAAACTTCGAAATATAGTCATATGCACAATTATACTCACTATTGCATTTTCTGCGCAATTTAATTGCAAGGGCTGACTGTTAAGAAAACCCTTAGCAATACCGAATGTGTCCTGAGGCATTAAAATACCTTCACAGCGCCTAATTCAGAGCCTGGTCATTGGAAGTTTGGGCACGGCTTTAAGCTACTTTCAGTTTTAAAAATATTACTTATAAATAACAAAAGTTCACGACGGTCCAACTAATATAATTACAATAATCTTCTTTCGGTAGTGGAGATCCCAGAGAACATATCCTCACCCGCACCTTTACGTGATTTCACTAGAGTTATTCAAAATCATTTCTACATATTGATCGAAGCATTATCCACATTCCCATTAAGAATGCTCTTTTTATTTTCAGCTGACAAATTCGTTAACAATTAATTTAAAAATTATTTACAGGGGAGAGTGAAATTGGCCCCCAAATACGTTTTGGATCCGCGTTTGTAATTTCTATGAATCATACGAGGAAAGAGTGCTGGTATATTTAACAACGAATTTGAAGACAAATTATAGACGACGGATAGCATGAAAAATAAAATAATGACACATTACAGAAACACCGCAACATCTAAGAGTGCGGTGTCATTAGTATTCTTTCTTTTCCTGTTGTGCGCAAGAAAAAGTTAGCTTCTAACACAGGAATGAGAGTTTGTAAGTATATTTTGATTACGTATAATTGATGGAATATTGCGAAAACGCGTATTTGATTTTTTTAGTTTTGTATTAGTATTTATATTTACTATGCAATTTTGTATTTATTCATTCGTTTTCATGTTATTCTAAACACGTCTCTAGTATGAGAACGTGATTCATTATTACGTAAGCGGGAAGAGTTCAAGTCAAAAGGGAAGCAAGAGAAATAGTAGAACATAAGTCAGCAGCAGCAAACGATCTAATTTTAGTCTAATTCATGAGATACAATATAAACAAATGATCAACACTATAAATATAAACAATATCTTGGATGGATGAATAACTTTGAAAAACAATAATAACCTACGATTTGCAGAGTTAATGTTATGTAACCATAAAAATTACGAGATATTGTTACGTAATGATTCAACACCTTCAGAATAACAAAGTCTTCATTCAGGGTAAAATATGAAGAGAGTAGAGCTGTATTCTGCCCACTGAATACTTCATCTACGACAGATTTACGCGGGCGATGAGCAGGAAAATATTCGCACATGTGCTCTCTGGTCCAACTTAAATTTTATATGGGGCACTAAGTTTTGGAAACTGAAACCAGCTAAATAATAATTCAACTACTAAATCTATACGATTTTGAATATTGTAATACTAATATCTGCTGTTGTCTTATGCACAAAATCCTGTATTCGTTTTAATCCTATTACTGCTTGCAAGAAAGGATAGACATAATACTCTGTATTTAAATGTATTTAATAAAATGTTCGATGTTTCAAGTTCATAGTTAAGTAGAAAAACTTATTACGCAAGGAAGTAAGATAAATACAGACACATGACTTATACATCAAAATCACTCCCTAAAATATCTTCCGTAACATTTTTTCACTCTGACCTGGGCTGAGTCATTAAAAACTGGTGGATCCGGCGAATCCGTTTTGTCTGTAGGTATAGTCTACTTGAATTTTCATCAACATCCCATTTGTAAATATTTACTGAAATGGAATAATATCGTACTCACTTACTCTTGGACTCATAACTTTGTTCTGAACTGTCGATAAACGTTTCGCAGT